GTTCAAAACTTGGTATTTGAAGTTCTTAATGTATACTACATCCTAAAACAGAGAATTAACCATGTAGGTCCACGTCTTCGTATAGCCCCCACATAACGGTATCTAACGATATTCGTTATTTTGGCGATATTAGGGAATTCATTCGCCGGAATTGTTTCAAATTTAGGATTTGCAGTTCGTAATGGATACTACAGTCGAAGACGGAAAATTGTCTTCGTATAGCCCCCATATAATGTTACCCCTTGATATTCGGTACTTTGATGATTTTAGCGACATTATTTACCGGAATTGCTTCAAATTTTGTATTTGAAGTTCGTAACAGATACTACAGCATAAAACAGAAAATTACAGCATAAAGCGACATTATTTACCAGAATTGTTTCAAATTTTGTATTTGAAGTACGTAACAGATACTACAGCATACAACAGAAAATGGGCCATGTGGGTCCACGTCTCCGTATGCCCCCCGTATAACGATAACGTATGATATTCGGTATTTTAATGATTTCACCTGAAATGTTTCAAATTTAGTATATGAAGTTCGTAATGGATACTACAGTCGAAGGCAAAGAATTGTCTGTGCAAGTCCGCGTCTTCGTATAGCCCCCATATGACGGTACCCTTGATATTAGGTATTTTGATGATTTTAGCCACATTATTTACCGCAAGTATTTCAAATTTTGTATTTGAAGTTCGTAATGAATACTACAGCCTATAACGGAAAATTGTCTTCGAAGTTCGTAACAGATACTACAGCATAAAACAGAAAATTTGCCATGTGGGTGCACGTCTTCGTATATCCCCCATATAACGGCACCCCTTGATATTCAGTATTTTGATGATTTTAGCGACATTATTTACCGGAACTATATCAAATTTTGTATTTGAAGTTCGTAACAGATACGTGGGTGGGTCCACGTCTTCGTATAGCCCCCATATAACAACACCACCCGATGTTCGGTATTTTGATGATTTTAGCGACATTATTTACCGGAAGTATTTCAAATTTTGTATTTGAAGATCGTAATAAAAACTATTGCCTATGACAGAAAATTGTCTGTGCAGGTTCACGTCTTCGTATAACCCCAATATAACGGTACCCCTTGATATTCGGTATTTTGATGATTTTAGCGACATTATTTACCGGAACTATTTCTAATTTTGTATTTGAAGTTCATAACAGATACATGGGTGGGTCCACGTCTTCGTATAGCCCCCATATAACAACACCACCCGATGTTCGGTATTTTGATGATTTTAGCGACATTATTTACCGGAAGTATTTCAAATTTTGTATTTGAAGATCGTAATTAAAACTATTGCCTATGACAGAAAATTGTCTGTGCAGGTCCACGTCTTCGTATATCCCCCATATAACGTTACCGGTATTTTGTTCGGTATTTTTGACATCAGCCACATTATTTAAAGAAATTGTTTCAAATTTGGCATTTGGAGTTCACAACAGATACTACAGCATAAAACTGAAAATGGGTCATGTGGTTCCACGACTTCGTATAGCCCCCATTTAACGGTACCACCCGATATTCGGTATTTTGATGATTTTAGCGAGATTATCTACCGGAATTGTTTGACTTTTGGTATTTGAAATTCTTAATGGATACTATAACCTAAGACAGAAAATTAACAATGTTGGTCCACGTCTTCGTATAGCCCGCATGTAAAGGTACCTTCCGATATTGGGTATTTTGATGATTTTAGAGATATTATTTATCGGAACTATCTAAATTTAGTATTTCAAGTTCGTAATGAATACTACAGCGTATGACAGAAAGTTGTATGTGCAGTTCCACGTCTTCGCATAGCCCCCATATATTGTTACCCCTTAATATTCTGTATTTTGATGACTTTAGCGACATTATTTACCGGAAGTATTTCAAATTTTGTATTTGAAGTTCTTAATAAATACTACAGCCTATGACAGAAAGTTGTCTGTGCAGGTCCACGTCTTCGTACATCCCCCATATAACGTTACCCCTTAATATTCGGTATTTTGATGATTTTAGCGACATTATTTACCGGAAGTATTTCAAATTTTGTATTTAAAGTTCTTAATAAATACTACAGCCTATGACAGAAAGTTGTCTGTGCAGGTCCACGTCTTCGTACAGCCCCCATATAACGTTACCCCTTAATATTCGGTATTTTGATGACTTTAGCGACATTATTTACCGCAATTGTTTCAAATTTGGTATTTAAAGTTCGCACCAGATACTACAGCATAAAACAGCAAATGGGTCTTGTGGGTCCACGTCTTCGTATTGCCCCCGTTTAACGGTACCACCCGATATTCGGTATTTTGATTAATTTAGCGATATCATCAACTGGAATTGTTTCAAATTTGATATTTGAAGTTCGTAATGAATACTACAGTCGAAGACAGAAAATTGTCTGTGCAGCTCCACGTCTTCGTATAGCCCCCATATAACGGTACGGAAGTATTTCAAATTTTGTATTTGAAGTTGGTAATAAATACTACAGCCTATGACAGAAAATTGTCTGTGCAGGTCCACGTCTTCGAATAAGGGTACCCATTGATATTCGGTATTTTGATGAATTTAGCGACATTATTTACCGGAATTGTTTCAAAGTTTGTATTTGAAGTACGTCACAGATACTACAGCATACAAGAGAAAATGGGCAATGTGGGTCCACGTTTTGGTATAGCCCCCATATAACGGTACCCCTTGATATTCGGTATTTTGATGATTTTAATGAATACTACAGCTTATGACAGAAAATTGTCTGTGCAGGTCCATGTCTTCGTATTGCCCCCATATAACGGTACCACCCGATATTCGGTATTTTGATTTTATGGAATTCAATCACCGGAATTGTTTCAAATTTAGTGTTTGAAGTTCGTAATTGATACTAAAGTCGAAGACGGAAAATTGGCTGTGCAGTTCCACGTCTTCGTATAGCCCCCATTTAACGTTACCACCCGATATTCGATATTTTGATGATTTTAGCGATATTATCAACCGGAATTGTTTCAAATTTGGTATTTAAAGTTCTTAATGAATAGTACATCCTAAGAAAGAAAATTAGCATGTAGGTCCACGTCTTCGTATAGCCCCCACATAACGGTATCTTACGATATTCGGTATTTTGTGATATTAGGGAATTCATTCGCCGGAATTGTTTCAAATTTAGGATTTGCAGTTCGTAATGGATACTACAGTCGAAGACAGAAAATTGTCTGTGCAGGTCCACGTCTTCATATAGACACATAAAACGTTACCACACCATATTCGGTATTTTGATGAATTTAACGACTTCATTTACCGGAATTGTTTCAAAGTTTGTATTTGAAGTACGTCACAGATACTACAGCATAAAACAGAAAATGGGCCATGTGGGTCCACGTCTTCGTATAGCCCCCATATAACGGTACCACACGAAATTCGGTATTTTGATGATTTTAGTGACATTATCTACCGGAATTGTTTCAAATTTGGTATTAGAAATTCTTAGTGCATACTACATCCTAACACAGAAAATTGTCTTTACAGAAATTTTTCAAATTTGGTATTTGAAGTTCGTAACAGATTCTAAAGTATAAAACAGAAAATGTGCCACATGGGTCCACGTCTTCGTATAGCCCCCATATAATGGAATCACCCGATATTCGGTATTTTGATGAATTTAGGGAATTCATTCACTGGAATTGTTTCAAATTTAGTATTTGTAGTTCGTAATTGATACTACAGTAGAAGACAGAAAATTGTTTGTGCAGGCCTACGTCTTCGTATAGCCCCCATAAAACGTTACCACCCGATATTCGGTATTTTGATGATTTTAGCTACATTATTTACCGGAATTTTTTTAAATTTTGCATTTGAAGTTCGCAACAGATACTGTTCATAATATTGCTATTAATTTGCCCAACACTGTTGGTTGGGCATTTACCGGCGGCCGCATAAATGGCATCATAACAAAATGATGTAAATAATGTAAATACATACACATACACACATACATTTATGCAGCCACCGGTAAATTCCAATGCTGAATTCTAATAACTAAGCATCGTCAACAGCCAAAACAGGTTTGATGTGACGATGCAAATTTGGCAATAATCAGTTCTTTTTCAATTACCGTCGTGAGCACAAGTTTCCCCCCCGTGTGACAAGTGAAAGTGTCTGTATAAAATCAAAGTTAAAATTAATAATATTAAACTGAACATTAAACAGTGAACATTCAACAACAAGAAGAACATTACTAAACAAGAACATACAACACGAAGGTGAAAAAACTTGCAAACTACTTACATGTTAAAACTTATACTACTGAATTAAAAAATGTCTAACTTAAAAATATTTAAAATCTATTGAAAATATTATTAAGAAAAAAGTGGATTAAAAAATATGAAAAATTTTATAAAATAAATAAACTTAAGAGCTATTGAATTAAAACCTAAAAACTAGTAAATTAAAAATTTAAAATAAATTACAAAACATAAAAACTAATTTTACCTACTTCTAAATTGCACTAAACCCCAAAAAAGTTACTGAAAAATAATACTAAATAGAAACCCGCAATAGAAAAACACAATAATTGTTATAATTTATAAAAAAGGGCAAAAAAAGGTAAGCCTAAAAACATTTGGTCCTCCAGAGCCGGATCAAAAAGTGAAGTTTTTTAAATTATTAAAAACGGAAAAAAAAACTTGTGAGTGGACGGACAAAAGAACAGTGAGAAAAAAGAAAGTGAAAAAAAGAACAGTGAAAAATACAGTGGGGTGCAAAAATTAGTGCAAAGTTAAAAAAGTGCTGGAAAAAAATTATCTTTGAAAACAATTACAAAAATTTACAAAAAAAAAATAGACAGTACACAGTGCAACAAAAAGTGAAGTTACACAGTGTTACAAAAAAATAAAATTTTTAAAATTTTAGAAAAATTAAATTTTTTCTTCAATTTTAAAAAATAAAAAATCTAAAAAATTAATAAAAAGTGACAAGAAGTCTTTTTATACAAAAAAGACAAAACACAGTGTTACAGAAGAGACGTTAAAAAGTGATATCCAAGAGACAATTTACAGTGACACAAAAACAACCACAACACGGAGAATTTTGGAGCCAGCAGTAGGACGGACACACGCAGCACAACAACAACAAGGTACAACATCGAGACCCGGAAAAAACCCCAAATTCAAAGTGAGTACTCGTGAAATTTTCTTTTTTGACACAAAAGGGCATTCCGGGAGCAAGCAAATCTTTAATATTTGCATTGACCCACATATTCCCATAATTTGCAATAACACTTTGACCCATATTCAAAGCTGCTAGTTGCCCACTCAGACACAGTGACGGAAAATTTCCCAATTTTGAGCCATTTTTCTGGACGGACATTTGGCTTTTGACCAGGGAATAAGCAGGCAGACATATTCTTTTCTGAAAAAACGGGAATTTTCAGCCATATACAAATATATATATACTAAAAATTTTGGAATTTTCTGAACGTGGAGTTCAGGCGAATACATAAGCGCCATATTGACACAAACACATAACTTTGGAAAATTGGCGTCACCAAGAAAGCATATAAACGCCATATTACAACAATTTTATATACAACTTTTGAAACAAAGCGTCACTTGCAATATATAGTCGCCATATTTTTTGGAAAAATTTGGCGTCATCCGAATACATAAACGAGTAAATAAAACCCGTTTAAAAAATAGCGTCTGGTGGACAGACGAAAAATAACCTAAATTTTTTTGAAACATTTTTTGAAAAAAAAAAAAAACAAGCAAGCGTCTGTTGGACAGACATACATTTGAAACTTAAACTACAATTTTTTTTTAAAAAAAAAATTTGGAGAACAAATTATATATCGGAGTCTGGTGGACAGACTTAAAATCGATCCCATATATTTAAAATTTTTTATTTTTATTCTAATTTTAACCTTTGTTCCCATTTAGCACAATATTTATTGCTCTAAGGAGCTTAAAATTTTTTTGTGACCCAAAATTAATTTCTTGCATTTTTCGCAGAAATATTTTGCTGGTATACTTTTTTGATTTTGTGACACATTACACGACAACTTTTTGGGAAAAATTTCTTCCTTGGTTTTTTTTTTTTTGCAATTTCTTGAATTTTTTGCAATTTCTTGAATTTTTTGCAATTTCTTGAATTTTTTGCAATTTCTGAAATTCATGCTGAAAATATTTGGATTTTGACCCAAATTATTTTCTTTTGAAATATATGGGACATAAAATTTTCCGCTGAAATATTTGGACCTTGACCTAAATCAAATTTTTTGGAAATTTTTGCTCAAATTTTTGGATTTTTGACCCAAATTATTTGTTTGAAATATTTCTGCTGAAATATTTGGATTTATACACACATAATTTTCTCTAATTCTCGTTGCGAATTTTATCGAAAAAATTTGGCGAATTTAGAAAATTTGTTGAATCAGACAAATTTTCACAAGCAATAATCAAAGTTATTAGCTTTTTAAAAATAAAATCCTCCTGTCATAGGATATTAAGTGATTTTAACAAAAAATTTAATTTTTTTTGACAACCCAACACACATTTTTACTTCGTTGAAATTTTTTTTGGACTCTCTGAAATTTTTTGGAATTTTCAACTTCTCGTGGACAATCAAATTAGACTCTCGTTTTTTTTTTTTTTTTTTGAAGAAATTGTTTACTGCGCAAAACATCTCTGGTAATTTCTGCTTTGCAATTCTCGTTTAAACACTTTTGTTTTAAAAACTTTTGATTATTTGTCGAATTGCAAAAATAAAATCCTCCTGTAAGTGGACTTTAAGAGATTTTATTTTCCTTTTTGCTCATTTTGGCGAAATTTTGACCCTTCTGGCAACCCAGCAAACATTTTTAATCAAATCAGTCCGGCGTCTAATACAAAGGAAATTTTTTGAAAATTTTCAAAAATTTTGAAATTTTTGAAGGAAACGAAATATAATTTGACTCAAACCATAAGATAAGATCGTTTTCGTCGACAAAAATTGGAGAAAGAAATTTATCCTCATTTTAAAAAATAAAAATTTAGATAAAAATTTAAATTCTAAACCAAGTTAGTCCTTTTCGTTGGGCAACTTTTCTTTTTTGTAAACCAACAAAATTTCGTAAAGGTTAACGCTCAGTTTTCAAATGGATAAAACGTTAAGCGATAAATTCACAAATTGCGTCAACGATCTTCTGGATTATATTTCAATTTTTTCAATAACCAAACCTGATGACACGGTACATACTTTGGAAACAACACGAATGGAGTTGGACTCTGCATGGGACCAGGTCAAAAGAGCATACATAGACTGCCGGGATTATGTTCCAGAAGAGGAAGGAAAGCCGATCGATAAAAATAAACTGAGGAAGCACTATATGGATACCATGGGATCGTACAAAAAAGCGCTGAGTTCAATAAATGGACAAATTCAAAATCTTTTGGATGAAAAGACACAGGAAAAAATGAAAAGAGAGTCAGAGATGTCACAACAAGGAAGGGAAGTGGATTTTACTAATGTATCGCGGCTACCTCCATGCGATACAGACACATTTAAAGGTGGTTATAGAGAATGGCCAACTTTCAGAGATCTATTTTCGGCAATTTACATAAACAACTCAAAATTAAGCAATGTCGAAAAATTATTCCATTTAACGCAAAAGACAGCAGGAGAAGCTAGAGAAATTATTTCACATGTCCCACTAACTAATGATGGATTTACATTAGCATGGAAAAATCTCACAGATCGTTACGAGAATAAACGAATGCAAATTAATGAAGAAATCAATACACTTTTTAATCTACCTGGAGTTTCTACTGAATCAAGTCACACTATACAAAAACTACAACGCACTGTTAATAGCAGCATTCAGACACTGGGGATGCTTGATGTCGATGTTAAAGGATGGGATCCGATTTTAATATACATTTGTTCAACAAAATTACCTAGAGGCTTTTTGGAAGAATTCGAGAACTCATTAAGCGATTGTAAACAAATTCCAAAATGGGAACAGTTTGACGCTTTCTTAACAAACAAATTCAAAACTTTGGAATCAGTTGGAAATATAAAGCCCTCTACATCGAAATTTGCTCAACAAAAACCAAATAGCAATTACACGCCTAGATTTTTGAAAAAATTTCAAACAAATGTCTCAAAAAATACAAACAACTTTGGAGGAAGACCTACTAATGTAATATTACCTCAACAAAATAAGCCGAAAATTACTTAAACATGTCAAGTCTGCAAATCAAATCATTTCATAAGAGATTGCAGCGAATTTTTGAAAAAGAGTGTGAATGACAGAATTCACATCGTGAAAACATCACACTTATGCTACAATTGCTTGTCATCAAATCACGGAGTAAAGGATTGCAAAAGTCGCTTTGGCTGCCGTATTTGTACTATGAAACACAACACTTTGTTACACAAGGGAACGGAAACCCAAACAACTAACTCATACCTAGCTCGAGTGGAAGCACGACCTAGTACTAGTGCTGCCGCTCTTACAAATCAAATACAGTCCACTACAAACCTAGAACCAACTACTATTACTACTTTGACCCTCCAAGATAAGCAAATTTGTGAGCGACAATCTGGAGGAACACTACTCTTCACAGCAATAGTACAAATTGAAACCAAAGGACAACTTTACGATGCCCGAGCTCTAATAGACTCAGGATCACAATCCACCTTTATTTCGGAAAAGATGAAAAACTTTTTGAAGTTACCTACACGGAATAACTTAGTTCATCTCACTGGCTTAAGTCAATTTGTTTCTGAGACTTCAACGAAATCTTGCTTGTTCACTATGAGATCCAAATACGACCCTAGCTTTAAACTGGAAGTCTGGGCTCCAGTTTTAAAGAACTTACCTTCAAATCTACCACCACAAAACTTAGATGAATCACATCTTCGAGATGTAACAGCATTAGAACTGGCTGACCCGAAATTTTACGTTAGTCAACCAATCGATTTACTTATTGGAATGGACATAGGACCATTAATATTCACAATTGGAACTCCAATGAAAACATTTGGATCAATTTTAACACAAAAAACCAAATTTGGATGGATAGTTGGAGGACCCATACCAGGAAGCATCCTTCAACGAAAACAAATATCACTTCTAAATACAACTTCAATAGAGAAAGTACTTACACGTTTTTGGGAGGTGGAAGAGACCCCTAAAAAAGTTTTACGGTCAGAAGAAGACCAATTTTGTGAACAAAACTTCATTGAAACAACAATACGGAACAAGGATGGAAGATATGTGGTGACTCTCCCATTCAAAAAATGCGAAGAATTGGGGAATTCCCGAAACATCGCCCTAGCTCAATTCTACAGAATGGAGAAAAAACTTATGAAAACACCAGAGATCAAAGAACAATATGATGCCTCAATACTTGAATACTTAGAACTTGGTCATATGAGGAAAATCAATCCGAAGGAAATAGATAAAATGCCAAATTATTATCTACCACATCACGCTGTGATAAAACCAGATCGACTCACAACGAAGTTAAGAGTCGTATTTAACGCTTCTTGTCCTTCATCAAACAAAACAAGTCTCAATGACATACTATATCCTGGACCCATTCTTCAACAGGATTTAGTATTGCAAATCTTAAAATGGAGATTCTTCAAATATGCCTTCAATGCAGATATAACAAAGATGTATCGCCAAATACTTTTGGATTCGAATCAAACAAAATATTAAAGAATTCTCTTTAGAAAGTCTCCGGAAAACACAGTAGAAGCTTATGAGCTGCTAACAGTTACATTTGGAGTTAACTGCGCACCATATTTAGCATTGAGAACTCTTCTTAAACTAGCAGAAGATGTAAAAGAATCATACCCTAGAGCCGCAAATATAATTTTGAATAATTTGTATGTTGATGATGTATTAGCTGGCGGTCACACTGAAGATGAATCAATAAAAGCTCGAAAAGAATTAACTGCTGCTTTAGACTCTGCTGGTTTTACACTAATGAAATGGGCATCAAATGATCGCAAAATAATACAAGATATTCCATATGAACATTTGCTACCACTCAATTGGCTAGACATTTCCGAAGATGCTTCAACTAAGACCCTTGGAATTCGATGGAATATCTCAGGCGATTATTTTTCGTTTACACCACCCTCAATGGAAAATAAAAATGTATCTTCAAAACGAGAAGTTTTATCAACGATAGCCAAATTGTTTGACCCATGTGGATGGCTGGCACCGGTGGTCGTCGTAGCTAAGTTAATAATGCAACAAATCTGGCTAGACAAAATTGACTGGGATGATCAATTAAAGCCAATAACACAAATGAACTGGAACAATTTTGTCAAAAATAGCAAAGATATTGAATATCTCAGAGTTCCTCGATGGATTCAATACACGCTAGATGGTTCTGTAGAAATTCATGGATTTTGTGACGCGTCAGAAAGCGCGTATGGAGCCACTCTTTATATTCGGGTGGAAAATACTGACCATACCACACATACATTCTTGCTAGCAGCAAAGACTCGTGTCGCTCCAATTAAAAAATTATCAATACCCAGACTCGAGTTATGCGGGGCAGTATTACTATCAAAATTAGCAAAATCCATTGTAAATAATCTACAAATATCAAAATATTCGACACAATTTTGGACCGATTCTACCATCGTCTTAGCATGGTTAAAAAAGCCTCCTTGTCATTGGAGCACATTTGTTGGAAATAGAGTCTCGGAAATTGCTGATAATGTTGGACAAGAAAATTGGAGACATGTTGATTCGGAAAATAATCCAGCTGATATTGCGAGCCGTGGATGTTCGCCTGCAGAGCTAAAGACTAGTGATCTCTGGTGGCAGGGAAATCCCAAATGACACAAATTTGGAAGCCAAAACAGCAAAAGTTATGACTCTTTTCGCTGAAAGAGATGACCCTTTAAAAAATTTCTCCTCTTTATCTCAAGTTTATCGATCATTCGCATATGCCCTCTCTCTGGAAAAATACTGGAGCAAATAGGCAACACCTTCGCACCTCATCAAAAGACCTTACTTCAGATGAAATCCAAGATGGAAAACGATCTTGCATAATTCGTACCCAGAAATTCGTATATGCAGACGAATACAACTCACTTATGAAAAAGACTCAAATTTCTCCTTCAAGTCCTCTCTTGACACTCAACCCGTTTATAGACTCAAAGGGTATTATTAGAGCAAATGGCCGATTGGTACAATCGCCAGCCCTTACCTATAGCGAACGTCACCCAATAATATTACCACATGGCGCAAAACTTAGTAAATTATTAGTCGAATTCACTCATAAGATTACTTTACACGGGGGTAATCAACTAATGACCCGAGTATTAAGGTCCGAATTCTGGATATTTGGACTCAAGTCGCTTATCAAACAAACCATACGAAAATGTCGATTCTGCTTAATTCACAAAAAAAAAAAATCCAAACTCAAATAATGGCTTCGCTACCACCCGAACGCACTTTTCTTTCCCGACCCTTTACAAACACAGGGGTAGATTTTGCAGGACCCTTTAACATTAAAAGTTATTCAGGAAGAGCCTGCTTTATTACAAAAGGCTACGTGTGCCTGTTTGTTTGTTTCGCCACTAAGGCTATACATTTAGAACCCACAAGCGATTTGTCGACATATGCCTTTCTTGCCGCTTTTTCTAGGTTTATTAGTCGGCGAGGTTGCCCGTCTTGTATATTTTCGGACAACGGAACTAACTTTGTGGGAGCGGTTGATCTATTAAAGCGAGATAGATTAGCTTTCATGAAGAATATTCAAAATAGCACAATTCAAAATAATTTCACTCAAAATCTTACTTGGAAATTTATTCCTCCTGGTGCTCCGCACATGGGCGGCTTGTGGGAAGCTGGCGTCAAATCATTTAAAATTCATTTACGAAAAAGTATCCCAAAAATGAATTTCACTTTTGAAGAATTTACAACTATTTTATCAAGAATTGAAGGCTGTCTTAACTCACGACCCTTAAGTCCTGCTAGCGACGACCCAAACGACCTTTCCCCTTTGACACCTGGTCATTTCTTAATAGGAACACCTATTCTTACCCCAGCTGAACCAGACATTTCAGATACAGATTTAAGCTTAGTCAATCGTTGGAAAAGACTCAAAGTTATTTCACAATACTTTTGCAACAGATGGAAATTAGAATATCTTCACGAACTTCACAGAAGGGCTAAGTGGAAATATGAAAAGGAGAACATCAAAGAAGGAGATTTAGTTGTCGTAAAAGATGATAGATTGGCTCCGCATGAATGGAAGTTAGGTCGTATCGAAAAAACGTATCCAGGTAGTGACCAAAATACCAGGGTTGTAGACATACGGACGGCAAGTGGCAACATTAGCAGACCCATTACAAAAATTGTCAAATTGTTTTCCGACTGACTAGTCGGATTCCCACTCAAAAAATAATTTAGTACTCGCCTTAATTTCTTTTCAGATATGGCCGCTTACTTGCCCAACCAGGACTGCCGTCTGGACGATCGATCCAGACTCACCTGCCCGTCCAACAGCAAGAAGCGCCAATCGACCCATACGGCCAATCCATCGTCCCAGTTACACATCCCCTGAAAGACGTCAACGAAGCCGATCCGACGTAAGACCCCGCCAACGTCAAGAAAGACCTAGCTACTGGCAATACTCATGTGGACTATGCCAAGAAGACCATGCCCTCAGTGCCTGTGAGAGGTTCCGCCGGCAGACGCCCTTCCAGCGATATGAGACCGTGGAGCGTCGGGGGTATTGCCGAAATTGCCTGGCGAGAAGTCATTTGGCCCCCGACTGCCCGTCTTTAACTGGTTGCCGGAGATGCAACGACCGGCACCATACCCTATTGCACGGGGCGTCTCAATTGGAGGAGGTATCCCTAAATATAGAAGCCGTCACCACTCCAGCTTTCGCGTGGGACTTAGTATTTGTACCGACGGCTATGGTACGCATAACGGCCGAGGGTATGGAGGGTTTCAGCATGTTGCGGGCCATAGTTAGCCAATCGGCGACGATGTCCAAGATCTCATATGCAGCTTTCCGTCGCCTGGGTCTGCAGTCGCGGAGCTACAAAGGGGAGCGATTCACAACCTTCACAGTTTCGCCCCGCCGCACGAACAGTACTTGGAGTCTGAAGGTAAATGCCGTAATTATCGAAGATCTCCCAAGACGCATTTACTCGGACCCAATACTTGAAGACCCCACTAGATGCTTCACGAGCTACGCCTTAGCTGACCCTGATCCCAGAGGAAATAGTCCGATCGATGTGGAACTGGGAGCGGACACGTACTCCGCCATAAGGAAAGATGGGTGTACAGCAGCTGGAATTGGAGATGTCCTGGCCTACAACACTCAACTGGGCTACGTGTTTGCTGGGCCAATCAAGAACATGCCGAGGAACTGAAGACCGAAGATCCTTATGGTATATTAGAAATTAATACTTACACTTGTCATTCGGGGCCCAGAAAATGTTCATAATATTGCTATTAATTTGCCCAACACTGTTGGTTGGATATTTACCGGCGGCCGCATAAATGGCATCATAACAAAATGATGTAAATAATGTAAACACTTACACATACACACATACATTTATGCAGCCACCGGTAAATTCCAATGCTGAATTCCAATAAATAAGCATCGTCAACAGCCATAACAGGTTTGATGTGACGATGCAAATTGGAGAATAATCAGTTCTCAAGCAATTACCGTCGCGAAAACAAGTTTCCCCCCGAGTGACAAGTGATCAACTTATCTAATTAACATTTAACATAGAACACAGTGAACAACAACAACAACAAAATTACTAAATATACAAAAAAGGAATATTTTACATACAGTGGACATTATTTGTTAACAAAAATTGCAACAAATTTACACAACACAAAAATATTAAAATTGTACAACAACCATACAAGAAAATTGTGCTAAAACCTAAAATTTATAAAATAAACTAAGTGCAAAATTTTGAATATAAAACTATAAATTATATTAAACTAAAACTTGAATTCTACTTACTTACAAACTAATGAATAAAACCCTAAATGTATAATTGCACTACCCCCAAGAAAATATATAAAGAACTATAAATAAAAACACAAAATAAAAAAACAAAACAAATTTTTTTTTATTTCAAAGGCTCAAAGGCAAAAAAGGTAAGCCTAAAAACAGATACTACAGCATAAAACAGAAAATGGGCCATGTGGGTCCACGTCTTCGTATAGCCCCCATATAACGGTACACCTTGATAGTCGGTATTTTGATGATTTTAGCAACATTATCTGACGGATTTGTTTGACTTTTGGTATTTGAAGTTCTTAATGGATACTACATCCTAATACAGAAAATTAACAATGTAGGTCCACGTCTTCGTATAGCCCGCATATAACGGTACCTCCCGATATTGGGTATTTTGATGATTTTAGGAAAATTATTTATCGGAACTATCTCAAATTTAGTATTTCAAGTTCGTAATGAATACTACAGCGTATGACACAAAGTTGTCTGTGCAGGTCCACGTCTTCGTATATCCCCCATATAACGTTACCGGTATTTTGTTCGGTATTTTGATGACATTAGCCACATTATTTAAGAAATTGTTTCAAATTTGGCATTTGAAGTTCACAACAGATACTACAGCATAAAACTGAAAATGGGTCAGGTGGGTTCACGACTTCGTATAGCCCTCATTTAACGGTACCACCCGATACTCGTATATAATGGTACCTCCCGATATTGGGTATTTTGATGATTTGAGAGATATTATTTATCGGAACTAACCATAACCAATAACCATAACCATATATTGTTACCCCTTAACATTCTGTATTTTGATGACTTTGGTATTTGAAGTTCGTAATGGATACTACAGTCGAAGACAGAAAGTTGTGTGTGCAGGTCCACGTCTTCGTATAGCCCCCATATAACGGTACGGAAGTATTTCAAATTTTGTATTTGAATTTGGCAATGAATACTACAGCCTATGACAGAAAATTGTCTGTGCAGGTCCACGTCTTCGAGTAAGGGTACCCATTGATATTCGGTATTTTGATGAATTTAGCGACTTTATTTACCGGAATTGTTTCAAAGTTTGTATTTGAAGTACGTCACAGATACTACAGCATACAAGAGAAAATGGGCCATGTGGGTCCACGTTTTGGTATAGGCCCCGTATAACGGTACCCCTTGATATTCGGTATTTTGATGATTTTAGGCATATTATTTACAGGAATTATTTCAGATTAGGTATTTGAAATTCGTAACAGATACTACAACAAAAAACTATAAATAGACCTTGTGCGTCCACGTCTTCGTATAGCCTCCATATAACGGTACCGCCCGATATTCGTTATTTTAATGATTTTAGCGACATTATCTACCGGAATTGTTTCAAAGTTGGTATTTGAAGTTCTTAATGGATACTACATCCTAAAACAGAGAATTAACCATGAAGGTCCACGTCTTCGAATAGCCCCCATATAACGGTACCTCCCGATATTGGGTATTTTGATGATTTGAGAGAAATTATTTACCGGAACTATTCCAAATTTAGTATTTGAACTTCGTAATGAATACTACAGCCTATGACAGAAAATTGTCTGTGCAGGTCCACGTCTTCGTATAGCCCCCAAAAAACTGTACCTTACGATATCCGGTATTTTGATGATTTTAGGGAATTGATTCACCAGAATTATTTCAAATTTAGTATTTGAAGTTCGTAATGGATACTTCAGTCGAAGACGGAAAATTGTTTGTGCAGGCCCACGTCTTCGTATAGCCCCCATATAACGGCACCTCTTGATATTCGGTATTTTGATGATTTTAGCGACATTATTTATCGGAACTATTTCAAATTTTGTATTTGAAGTTCGTAATGAATACTACAGCCTATGACAGAAAATTGTCTGTGCAGGTCCACGTCTTCGTGTAGCCCCAATATAACGGTACCTTACGACATTCGGTATTTTGATGATTTTATGGAATTCATTCACCGGAATTTTTTCAAATTGAGTGTTTGAAGTTCGTAATTGATACTACAGTCGAAGACGGAAAATTGGCTGTGCAGTTCCACGTCTTCGTATAGCCCCCATATAACGTTACACCTTGATAATCGGTATTTTGATGATTTTAGCGACATTACTAACCGGCATTGTTTCAAATGTGGTATTTGAAGTTCGCAACGGATATTACAGTACGAAACAGAAAATGGGCCGTGCGGGTCCACGTCTTCGTATGGCCCCCATATAACTGTACCACCCGATATTCGATATTTCGGTCGAAGACAGGAAATTGTTTATGCAAGCCCACGTCTTCGTATAGCCCCCATATAACGGCACATCTTGATATTCGGTATTTTGATGATTTCAACGACATTATTTACCGGAACTATTCCAAACTTAGTATTTGAACTTCGTAATGAATACTACAGCCTATGACAGAAAATTGTCTGTGCAGGTCCACGTCTTCGTATAGCCCCCAAAAAACGGTACCTTACGATATTCGGTATTTTGATGATTTTAGGGAATTCATTCACCAGAATTATTTCAAATTTAGTATTTGAAGTTCGTAATGGATACTTCAGTCGAAGACAGAAAATTGTTTGTGCAGGCCCACGTCTTCGTATAGCCCCCAAATAACGGCACCTCTTGATATTCGGTATTTTGATGATTTTAGCGACATTATTTATCGGAACTATTTCAAATTTTGTATTTGAAGTTCGTAATGAATACTACAACCTATGACAGAAAATTGTCTGTGCAGGTCCACTTCTTCGTGTAGCCCCCATATAACGGTACCTTACGACATTTTGATGATTTTATGGAATTCATTTACAGGAATTTTTTCAAATTTAGTGTTTGAAGTTCGTAATCAATACTACAGCCTATGACAGAAAATTGTCTGTCCAGGTTAACGTCTTCGTGTAGCCATATAACGGTACCTTGCGATATTCGGTATTTTGATGATTTTATGGAATTCATTCACCGGAATTGTTTCAAATTTAGTGCTAGAAGTTCGAAATTGATCCTACAGTCGAAGACGGAAAATTGGCTGCACAGATCCACGTCTTCGTATAGACCCCATATAACGTTACCACCCGATATTCGATATTTTGATAATTTTAGCGATATTATCAACCGGAATTGTTTCAGATTTGGTATTTAAAGTTCTTAATGAATAGTACATCCTAAGAAAGAAAACAAAGCATGTAGGTCCACGTCCTCGTATAGCCCCCACTTAACGGTACCCTCTGATATTCGGTATTTTGATAATTTCAACGACATTATTTACCGGAGTTGTTTCAAATTTGGTATTTGAAGTTCGTAACAGAAAATGGACCATGTGGGTCCATGTCTTCGTATAGCCCCCATATAACGGTAACACCCGATATTCGGTATTTTGATGATTTTAGCGACATTATTTACCGGAATTTTTCAAATTTTGTCTTTGAAGTTCGTAACAGATAATGCAGCATAACACAGATAATGGGCCATGTGGGTCCACGTCTTCGTATAGCCCCCATATAACGGTACCCCCCGATATTCAGTGTTTTGATGATTTTAAGGAAGTTCATTCACCGGAACTGATTCAAATTTAGTATTTGAAGTTCGTAATGGATACTACAGTCGAAGACAGAAAATTGTTTGTGTAGGCCCATGTCATCGTATAGCCCTCATATAACGGTAGCCCTTGATAGTCGGTATTTTGATGATTTTAGCGACGTTATTTACCGGAACTATATACAGCCTATGACAGAAATTTTTCTGTGCAGGTCCACGTCTTCATATAGCCCCCATGTAACGGTACCTTACGATATTCGGTATTTTGATTATTTTAAGGAATTCATTCACCGGAATTGTTTCAAATTTAGTATTTAAAGTTCGTAATGGATACTACAGTCGAAGACAGAAAATTGTTTGTGCAGGCTCACGTCTTCGTATAGCCCCCATATAACGGTATACCTTGATATTTGGTATTTTAATGATTTTAGCGACATTATCTACCGGAACTATTTTAAATTTTGTATTTGAAGTTCGTAATGAATAGTACAGCCTATGACAGAAAACTGTCTGTAGAATTTCACGTCTTCGTATAGCCCCCATATAACGGTACCATCTGATATTCGGTATTTTGATGATTTTAGCGACATTATTTACTGGAATTTTTCAAATTTGGTATTTGAAGTTCGTATCAGATAATGCAGCATAACACAGACAATGGGCAACGTGGGTCCACGTCTTCGTATAGCCCCCATATAACGGTACCACCCGATATTCGGTATTTTGATGATTTTAGCGACATTATTTACCGGAATTTTCCAAATTTGGTATTTGAGGTTCGCAACAGATACTACAGCATAAAACAGAAAATAGGCCATGTGGGTTTACGTCTTCGTACAGCCCCCATATAACGGAATCACCCGATATTCGGTATTTTGATGATTTTAAGGAAATTTATTCACCGGAATTGATTCAAATTTAGTATTTGAAGTTCGTAATGGATACTACAGTCGAAGACAGAAAATTGTTTGTGTAGGCCCATGTCATCGTATAGCCCCCATATAACGGTACCCTTGATAGTCGGTATTTTGATGATTTTAGCGACATTATTTACCGGAACTATATATAGCCTATGACAGAAATTTTTCTGTGCAGGTCCACGTCTTCATGTAGCCCCCATGTAAAGGTACCTTACGATATTCGGTATTTTGATGATTTTAGCGATATTATCAACCGGAATTGTTTCAGATTTGGTATTTAAAGTTCTTAATGAATAGTACATCCTAAGAAAGAAATCAAAGCATGTAGGTCCACTTCTTCGTATAGCCCCCACATAACGGTACCCTCTGATATTCGGTATTTTGATAATTTCAACGACATTATTTACCGGAGTTGTTT